GAGAAGGTCGGGGACTAAGATATCTCACCAGCAGGGTCTACCATATTGTACCTTGAGAGATAGATACAGTATGATGTCTATCAAGGTTACGGAGAACGTCGGGGACTAAGATATCTCACCAGCAGGGTCTACCATATTGTGCCTTGAGAGATAGATACAGTATGATGTCTATCAAGGTTACGGAGAACGTCGGGGACTAAGATATCTCACCAGCAGAGTCTACCATATTGTACCTTGAGAGATAGATACAGTATGATGCCTATCAAGGTTACGGAGAACGTCGGGGACTAAGATTTCTCACCAGCAGAGTCTACCATATTGTATCTTGAGAGATAGATACAGTATGATGTCTATCAAGGTTACGGAGAACGTCGGGGACTAAAATATCTCACCAGCAGGGTCTACCATCTTGTACCTTGAGAGATAGATACAGTATGATGAAACTGAATCACACTGCATCATACAGCTGATTCGTCCTTCTATGACTCATCGGCTTGGGACCAAAAGGTTGGAAATCCTTATTTGATATATACTAAGGAGGGAGTACCCAAATCGGATCAGTACCCAAATCGGATCACTTTTTGCAAAAATACTTATAAATCAATAAATGTGTCAACAAATCAGTAATGACAATAATGTAGCCTTAAAATAGATAGCCATGTACCTTTTTTTGTCTACAGTTAATTAGTTTTTAAGTTCCAATAGCACCAAAAAACGATATTTAAACTCAAATGTCAGTGTTTTGATTACATTTTATTTAATGGCACTTGCGACGACTATGCATTCAGTTTTGGACTATAGGAATAAATTCACACTATAGAAATACTTTTATGTCATATCAATTCTAAAGGCCATCGCAAATTGTTGATATGCTGACAAAACAAATATTCATTTGACGTGTAAGATACTACAAAATCCAAGCCTTGATTCGATTTGTGTCTTGACATTCGCAAAAACCGGAAACGCTGATTGGTGAGCATTCTATAAATAAATCAAGTGAGCACCGGGTGCTAGTTTGTAAGAACACCCGTCGATATTTTTCCTTTGATACAACCATAAATGAATATAATTCCTCCTCAGAGTTTTCAATGAATGAATAAAAGGATGGCTTGGTGATTTGATTTGGGTACTGTCACCTTACTGTTGAAACAAAAGGTGAGGTGCATAAAAACAGAAGTACTGGTTCATTTCTAATAACATAAAAAACATTACGGTGGCTATCAAAGTTATAGCTAACGTCAATAAAACTATAATATAAACAAAAGGAAATATTTAAATGTCCCGGAAGGATAAGCGTTATATGCTTTATCGACGAGACCCCCAAGTAAATCTAGGTCGAATCCAAGTGATGAGAAGTCCTCACATCGAAAGCTCTGATAGTGACAACAAAACACAAGGCCTTCAGTCAGAGAAGTGGCAGGCTTCCCTACGAGATCGTGACAGCACCCATAAAACTTGTCAATAGCCTTCATCAAGTTACATATTTGGAAACCTGTGTTCCAAGTTTGACCGTCATCAGTGAAAGATGAACGTTAAATACACACAGGTGATGGTATACAATATATACAGCAATAGGGTATATACTCATAATTATAGGTTTAAAGTGCAAGGTAAGTAAGCCATATAGATCTTAATTATCACAATCATGTCGGAATGACACAAATTTTAACGGATGTTTGGAAACCTCATCTGCTTAATTGATTTTCACAACTAATTTCTTTCAACCTACATAAATTACTGTAAAACACGTTTTAGCGAGTATGCTTAAATAATACAAAAAAAGAAGATAATATTCATTTAAAAGGTAATACCGTCACCACACTTTTTACAGTATGCAATTCAAATTATTGTCAAACAATTCATGCTTTAAAGTGTGCCATTTACAATAATTTTATTTTCTATTTTAAAGTGTCTATGATAAGTTATAAGTAATTTACAGATAATACCTTACAATATAAATGCTTTATAGTATATATTCACATATGTTACGATACAAATATAATACATATACAAATCAATTATTTGTAGTATATTATACTTATTAAATATTGTTATGGCATAATTGCTAGTAACACTGTTTCCATGTTATACTGTGTAAATTGCCCCCATACTTTTGCAATTAATTTCAATAAGTTAAAATGAAAACACACGCCTAATCTTAACTGATACAATATTGAAGGACCGCCTTCGTTTCCTGATTATGAGAACTTTCCTCCCTAAAAATGTAAACGACAATATGAGTATATGTATCTTTGTCATGATATTTAAATCACAAAATTATATAACAAAGATTAGAAAGATATATACTAAGGATGACATAGTGAAAATGATTGAGTTTCTTGTTGACAATATCATTTTTTGAGTTCGGTAACAAGATTTTCCAACAGTAGCTTTTCCTATTCCCCTCCTGGCATATGCAGTGATGTCAATAAAACTGTTTATTTTATTTCATTGTTCTAATAATGGCCTCAAGAGCTTAGATGAAAACTGGGTTAAGCAACTCGCAGAACTAATGCTAAAATGAAATTGTAAGGATTTCAAAGTTTCAAAATTAAAAGAAAGCGGTGCTGGTCCGTATTCCTTATCATAAAAGAATATACGGAAATATTGTAATAGACCAGCATGATAAGCTAGTATTTCTTCTGTGAACAAAATTGCAAATGTAGTATTATCAAGCAAGCCTAGATTTTTGTCTAATTAGTAGATGCTCTGTCTGTCGATCATTGTTTTTTAATGATCAACCTGATAACAAGTGCTACGTTTGTTTTGAACACAAACAGGAATTGGAAACTTAGTTTGCGAGCTTTCGAAAATGTTTCTTTCCTTTGTCATATATCCGCACTTCAATTGATAGAAGGAGCCTCTCGATATAAAGTTTTCCCACCAAAGATCTCTCAAAGCTATGTCACTAGTAATAACGTATCTAGCTGGACCATAGTTGTATTTGAATTGGCTCGTGACCGAAGGTTTGCGGGTTCGAGTCACGGTACGGCTCTGTGTTGTATCTCTGAGCAAGATACTTCACTCCGCTTGTTCCAGTCTACTCAGCTGTAACTGAGTACGTGGTTTGGCAGTGCTAGACTTGTTGAATGCTAGCTGTTCGCACCGAAATGGCAGCACCAGTTGTATGCTCCCCATGATGTTGAGAAAGATATTGGCTGGTTGCAAAAGCCCTATAACCACGGATAATAATATGTGAACCTCTTTGAGACGACCTACGAAAAAGGTTGTGATAGAGCGGTATGTAAGAACCTCGAATCATTATTATTATTATTATGTAAAACAAGAATGGGCTGAAGGAGGAGTTATTCTGAGATCAGCACATGACGTCATCACAAAATGTCCATGACTGCGCTAACATCTCATTTCCTGAAGGAACAAATACATTACATGAGTCTGATGCATCCTAGACTTAACAAATTCCATGCAGAACCCGCACAGCCATTACTTTCTTTTGGCTCAGCAGTGACAGGAATATCATGTTTTGCAAAGGAATCACAGAGCCCAAATACAACACAGCGTTTATACACAAGAAGAAATACACCACAGCGTTAACACAGGCTGACATAATTTACCAAAGCATTAAAACAAGAGGAAAAATACCACTCATCGTCAGTGCAAACGGACAAATACAAGTACCCAAGGACAAAATGTACTTCAGAAGTTCCATACAAGGACAAAATGTGATGTTATCAATTGCGAATACTCGATTTAATAGAAGAGACATCAAGAACCTCGTCAAAAGAGGAAAATGGGCGCTACAGTACAGCCATCGTTGACATTTTCAGAATATTGTTATTCCGGAATTCAATATTCCTTCCATAACAAAGAAAATGTTACGAAGCTCTCTAATTCACCGCTAGATAAGACGTATGACGTAAATTTGATAAACTAACTTAGTGAAGAGCATTATTACTCGATCCCGCTGTTTTCAGTCCGGTCTCCGATATTAACCAGTATATTAAACAGTGAATTATAAATTCTGAATCGTTTAGTCTATTCGATATGCGGTATTTGTAAACATGAATACACTGAATTGATAATTTCTGTTTTAGATTAAATTTCATTTATTATTGAAGATCGTCATATCATGCGGTAGGAACCAAACTATTGAGGATGAATTTATGACGGGGTTTTCGAGTTACAAATCTAAACATGTTCTGTTACCTTCAGCTACTTCCGGGAGCACTAAGATAGGCCAAAGTTCAAAGAGACATTGACTATATGAACACTCCATTGCCCAGTTGTTCGAAAGTAAGTAAGCTTACCGAGTCATTCAATAAGACTTTCTTGACTCATGATCAAAACATAATTATATATATTCTGTCCTAAGGTGGTCATTTTGAACCTCAAAACAGGCGGGAAAGTTATGTGTTTTAAAAATTTGAAGGTGTCGCAGAAGATAGCTTTACATATATTTATCAGTAGGCTAACCAGGCTGAAAACTGCCGGACGTCCGATAGAGAGTAGCTAGTTTAATCAACCGTATTGCAGTGTAATGTAGTTTTCTGTGATGTTCATCAAAGCAACAACCGAACTAGTAACAGGGAATGTTAGGATTCATCTACACATAGAGGTGGGATTTATAAATCTCGTATCTACCAAACACATAAGCTTTAGTACAAACAGTTGGTGTGCTTTAAAAATCGCTTAACCACAAAGAAACCTATGGTGATTGTATAAATGTTATGTTTGCTTTCATCTATAGTCATCGTGCCGCATATATTTTTATGCCTATTAATATATCATATGCCTAGTAAGTGTGCGATTCTCCCTGCTTTCTCACGCTCCACGAGTACGTGCCCCGACGTGAACAGTATCTCCGGGATCACGTCAGGTATTCAACAAGTATAGCCAGGTGATAAAACTCAGGTAAGAAAAGAGGCGTGGCTTTCCCACACTCTGTGTCGCGTGCCAGACTTCTTACCTGTTGACAAGCTTTGTATAGGAATGACGGTTTTACCTGTGGGGCGTCCGCGTTCCAGTAGTAATACCCAATGAAATGTTAGGCAGGCACGGGTCGTGTCTGTGTTGGAAGGCTGAGTGACATTGAACGACAAGGCCAATACACTTTCCCACGAGGCAAAAGTATGCGACATTGTCCATGTCCAAACATGTATTAACAGGCAAAGGGTCGAGATATGGTGTCCTGACCAAATCAGTAAAGAAAGGAAAGGAAAATATCATCCATGGATTCAGACACAGAAACCATGCTGTCTGACAAAGTGTCATCGACTGCTTCAGAAAGCAGAAAGGTAGGTTAAACGTTAATTAGACATTTCGTTTATGACGTAAATAGTTATTTGTTGTTATTGGGACAAGACGAAAGCATAAATCTGTATAATGTATATGACAATGAAAGAGTTCGTTACCGACACCCTATATAGAAAACGTCCACAGAATAGTTAACTCTGTAAATTACATTTTACTATAATTACGTTCGTTCTATTGAATTCATCCATAATGTTTTATTTCGGGGCGTCAAATTCACTGTTAATTTCCCTGTACAGGTCATTCCTTAGAAGTATACATTAGTGACATTTTCTGATCACATAAAGAGATATTTTGGTTTATCTTTCCTCAAAATATAAGTATTTATCTTTTTCGTTATGTGTGTCTTATTTGTTTCAGAACTCGAAGCCAATTATGGAAAAACGACGTCGGGCAAGGATCAATGCTAGTCTTGCTGAGTTGAAGTCTCTACTTCTGGAAGTAATGAAAAAAGAGGTGAGCGAACCCCTGGCTGTCTAAGAAATCATATAAATACCTTTACCCTGTAGTTGCACTTTTGTATAATTATTTGCTTGTCTTGTCTTTTTCCTATTAATTTCAAGTACTATATAAAACTGAGATGTCTCAAGATAATAAAGTCAAATTGTATAAGGTGTATTGTTTCATTGTATACTAGTTGTTGTATAAGCGTATACAATCTCATGGGATCTTTTTCGGTAACGTTTACGTCATTTCTCAAAATACAAGATTACTAAGAACAAGTTTTTATCAGTCAGTAGACGCGTTTTGAATCACCCTATAGTCAACATATTAATTTCCTGATATACCACGCAATCTCATATATTTTAATGGTCTTTGTCCACTAACATATTCTTTCTGACAAACTTCCTACTACAGGTTAGTCATTAAAGAGTGTGGTTTAAAGTGTTGAGCACTACACAACTCTGGGACTAGACAACAAAGACTGTATTGAGACGTAGACTATCTTCAGAACAAAACAAAACTGTTTTGACATATTTAAACAATGCCTTCGTTGTGAAAACTGTTTATTTAACTATCTTTGTTACGAACAAAAAATATGGAGATTAATGATAAGGTAAATAAAAAAAAATGTTTTGTTTACTATTTTGCTTTCAAACTTGTTTTCTTTTCTACAAAAATATTAGTTACATAATTACAGTGCTATAACGTCCGCTGTAATAACTGTCTATATCAGTATCATTTTGTGTCCAATTGCATAAAAGATGTTTATGATCTATTGACATGCGATATTCTTTAAACCCAGAGCAGTGAAACTAAATTTAAGGAAAATATATTAAGTATATATATTAATTAGTGTATTTAGTATATATATAAGTATTCATCCCATTGCACTGTACTCTAATAATTAATATCAATTAATACAAATGAAAAGTTAAATGGCAGACCTTAAGAGACCTTATGTCAGGTATGAAATGATTACCTTATGTATCAAGCAACCACTTTCCATTAGTCAGTCATAACTTTCGTCACGCTTGATTGAATCTATGGCCCAGCAGTCCTCAATACAATCTCTCTTTGTACGACGTTCACACGATGAAATGATATGGTAAATTACCTTAAGGTGAATGTTTCTAATTAACCAGGCAACTCAGATATGAACGTAACCGATGCCTCAAGCAAGCTAGGGTTATTGTTAATGTATACGACTCTGTTTCCTTAGGGTTATTGTCGACGTAGAAGTTCTGTAACTGAGGGTTATAGTTGATAAATAAGGTTTGTTACTTAGGTTTCAGGCTCTATTGATGGGGTTATTATTGTGAATGTACGTACAATGCTGTTACTAAAGGTTATAATGGATTACTGACTGGTATCGCTGATCTAAAAGTATCTTTTACTGAAACTACTGAGGGTCAATATGGATTGAGAACGCTTTGTTACTAAGATTTATTGTTGGTTAGCCTTTATTTCTAAGGGTTAATGTGTATGAAAACAAATGTTAACAAAGCTATTTCTGAGGGTTATTACGAACTAATAATTTTTTACTGAGGATTAATGTTGATGAAAAACACTGATTATACTGGTTACTGTGGATGTATAAGACTGTGTTACTGAGGGTTATTATGGATAAATTACTCTTTGTTACTTGGGGTTATTGTTGGTCTAAAAGGCGTTGTTGCCTAGAGTTAAGGTTATGTACCATGAGAACATAGTGGCTGCTAAGACTCTGTTAGGAAGATTTATTGCTGGTGTTTAGTGTTTTGTTACAGAGGGTTTTTGTTGATGCATAAGGTTGTAACTAATGATTATTATTGACAGCTAAGGTTCTGTTACTAACGCTTTTTGTTGTTGTAAAAGGCTCTTACTGTACAACATTCAAACGAAGTATTAGCATTATAGAAAAAAAGGTTGTTTTGAAAATTAAGTAATATTTATCATCATCACCTGGTCATATTTGTTACAATGAATATCACAGTTTTCACACAAAATTGTGTGAATTAAATGACTTAAGTAGACGATTTACACTAATGCTTATACGCAATAGGTTCCTATTCAATTCGTCAAAAACAATTCACGTAATTCTAAAAAATATTATTCACAAATACAAAATCTGGTTTAAGAGCCTGTAAAATTAGAAAACATATATGCAAATATAAGTAAAAGTCTTATAATGTAAACTTAAGAACGTCAACAAAATGCTTTTAGTCATCGTTAGATGTTTATATATAATTACACTAAGACTGGAGAAGGTTCATTTTCCCACGGTCCTCTGTTTATCTTGTCACGTACAAGGCATGCATGACTGATCGGATGACTTCTCTGGTCGTCTGCTCGCAAGCTTTGACAAGCCATGTACTGGTATTACTCAACAAGGTATCTTACCTGGGGAAAAGGGGGCCATCTTAAGGGATATTTAAATCTCAAGTTTCTTTACTCTTATCGGAGGGCGTTCAAAACCTCAGTCTATCTAAATCTTATTCATCTGAAGTGCTGGGGAAACAATAGACGGAATCCAATACTTCCCTACCTTTCTGTTTTAGGGATTTTTTAAATTTAAGATAACTTTTTTAAAGTTTGTGTGCTTAAACCTCAATTTACCTACATGATTATAATAACAATGTATTTGAATAAAAGTTTAATACTAAATGACTTACGTAGTACAGATGGCTATTGATCGTTCATAGAATCTTTACGCATACTCAGTGAGTGAAGCAATTTAAAGGAAATATATATACCATATATAATGTTTCTAAAATATATTAATGAAGCATAGTTACGGTATTAATTGAATTCCAACAAATATATCATGATATAAGAAATACAAAATGAATAATAAATATGAGTTTTGAATAGAAATTAGAAAACAGTTTCATTAAAACAATAAAATTGAAATAGAAACTATTAAAAGTATTTGATTCAGAAGAATTTCAACTATTGATGTCATATAAATATGCCACTTTCAAAACAAAGATATAATCTTAGAGTTTCTAAAGCATCATGTTATTTGTGACATTGTTAAATATGAATATTCCTGCATAATTTAACTTATAATGAGGAATCATATATGTCACTTTTGTGAGTGGTTTTAGAGCCATATAAGTCTACACTGCATCCGCCTGACATTACACAAAGATCTTCATATCTCTCCAGTGCTATCATTTATACAGCAAGAACCATTATGAATAACCATTTTATCATAAGAGATGAACAGACAGAACCATTATGAATATTTATTTCATCGACAATAAACTTAGTTTCTACAATGGAGTGTTGCATTCTGTAAATACATATATGTATTCGTAATGCATTTCTACTTCTAATATAAAAGACAATTTCAAAAAGAAGGCAGATGGGAATCTGAAGTACTATTAAACTGCTATTGTAGGCAGAAAGCTTTCGGAAAGAATCTGTCGCATAAATCATGTCGTCTATTTGATGCGTTAGCTGTTAATCAACTATGGTTAAAACCCATTACAGAGCTAATGTTCACTATTCAACCCTGAACGCCACACTGATTGGTAGTCAAATGGAACTCTTTACTCATGTGGGACAGAAAAATGGAGGGATAATTCATACATTTGTATACTCTGTGATAAACACTTTAATGCATTTTTTCTGTGATATTTGTGTGTTTTAGAGATTCTGATGATACCATAGAATGTTTGTATGATAGGAAGATAGCACTAAGTGTGACAAAACTGCGAGATGTAGTGATTGTCTATGTTGTATAGGAATTGCGTCAGTTGTATCACCGTGAATCCATTATAACGTGATTGATAAGTCTTATTTTTATTTCCTTTCCAGGGTGCTCGTCAAAACAAAATGGAAAAAGCTGATATTCTCGAGATAACTGTGAGACATCTTCGAACATTACAGAAGCAGCAGTTCTCAGGTACAGTTGTTAAGATATGTTTAAATGTCTTTCCATCTCGTGTATAAAATGTATTTACGAAAAGTAAATATGTTTATTGATTAAATATATCAGAAACACTGAGAAATATGATATTTTAAAAAAATCTTCCACCTTATTACCATTTATATGTGATAGGTTCGTTATGACGAACATCTTCTGTGTATGTTTGTCATTTGACAAACGTTGTATACTTAGATATACTCAGGGAAGGTCATAAAGTAAAGAAGAGTTATTTATATAGAGACTTCCGTGGTTTAATAATCTAATTTGTTTTATTCAAAGTTTGAATTGCTAGTGTGTAGCTAGTTATTAATGGGCATGCTGATAAGGCTAAGGAAACAACGTTTTTGATCAATCACCGCTTTAAATTGTGTTTATTTATTGTTACAGCCCTTGCAACTAGCGATCCGACTTTGATCAACAAATACAGATTGGGATTTAACGAATGTGCATCTGAGGTCAGTAGCTTTCTTGGCTCTATGGAGGGACCTGACACAGAAGTAAGGTCGAAGCTCCTTAGCCATCTCGCTAATTGCATGGTTAATCCAGACCCGCCATTACAAACGTCACGGATTCCCTCATCCCAATGTTTGGATAATCTGAGGTCGTCACCACCTCAAACAACTGTCTTCTGTAAAACTGAAGATATTCCAAGCCATTCTCACCAAATACCCTTACCGGAGAACAATGTGGTTCAAAATGTTATTCACAATGGACTACGAACAAATATAATGGATAATGGAGTTTTAGCGATTCAGGCCCAGGAACCGTTTGTCGCTAATACCTTAAGTGCTGCTCTTCCTACCGCTACTTCCACGGCTGCTTTGTCTGTGCAGGGATTAATAAACGGCCAACCCATTCAGATCCCTCAATTTCAGCAGCAACAGCAGCAACAGCAGCAACAGCAGCAACAGCAGCAACAACAACAACAACAACCCATTCAACAATTCCAGCCACACATCATACAGCAACCGCAACAACAACAACTACAACAGCAACTACAACAACAACAGCAACAACAGGTACACATTCAGACAATACAGCCACAGACTACAATACAACAACCCAGCATGCAAGTTCCGAAACTTGTCAGCGGTGTGCAACTTATCCCTACAAAAATGTCAACAGGAGAGATGGCCTTCATTATTCCTGCTAATCTCTTGTCCAACGGGAACATGAATAACTATGTCATTCCGATGTTACAATCTCAAGCAGCTTTGACGACGACACATGTGTCGGCTTCAGTAGCGCCCGTAACTGTAGCTTGTACACAAGCTATCAACACAGCACAGACCCAAAATATCAATATTAAACCTGTTCCTACCGTCCTCAGTATTCCCACCCGGCCCAGGGAACCGGTCCCAGTTTACGGACAGTCTAACACTAATGACCAGCCAGTGATATATGGCCACGGTGAACCGTTAAGGAGTAGGACAGACGACGGCACTGGTCAGAATTTAAATGTCATCATATCACCAAATAAACAGGAGGATATGTGGAGGCCTTGGTGAACTACGCAGCATTTTACTTTACCTGACTATACAATATGTTATAAAATAACATGTTCATTTCATTTCTTAAGAAAAATGTATGGAATGCAAAATATAAAAAAAATATTATAAAATACCAGATGTTTAGTAAAACCTCAATCTATCGTCACTCTTTGCCTGGCCCTTCCACTTAGTGCTTCCGTTTTTAGGATTTCGTATTATTTACAATAGATTTATCTTTATACGTGTCACTCGATATGTTGACATCACTATTCGAGTCAGTATCATTGTGCTGGCTAAGCAGTGTGGCAGGATATTGAAGTTTTACTATATTTTATGCCATATTCGACTTGTCTTCCTGTATCAAAGTATATTATCTTGTGATGAATTTTTTGATACTTCATTGTTGCTGATTGTTGAAACAGTACATTGTCTTCCATATGCTATTAAATAGCAAGAGATATACGTACAAAATATTGATGTGCGTTATAATGGAAACATATATACTTATGGAAAAACAAAGTGTCGATTTTCTCTATGTTTTGAATTAATTCGAACGATGTATGTGATAGGTTTGTGATATATTTGTGATTGGAGAACTACTGTGGCTGTGTAACAGGATTCCTTATTATGTAACATTAAATCTTCTATTTTCTACATATTTTATTTATAGATTTTAATATGCAATAAATACATATCAATAAATCTCAATTTACTTCATCGAAATGTCAGCGTTTTTTAATTGTTTTCTATATATAACAAATATTTAATAATAATAAATACTTATATATAAATAATTATCACATGCAGTTTAATAAATCATATGCAGATTGTGTACTAAAAAATCACTAGGTGATAATTATATATGAAAATTAATTTTTAAATGCCATATTTATATAAGGTACCAAGATGATACCGTTGTAGAGTAGAAATGACGACGGACTAGATCATATCATATCCTGGCCCTTATTGATACGATAACGCATCAACAATTTTATTTCTAAGGGATTGCTTATGAATTGTGAACCATAGGATATTAACTATGAATTGTGAACGCGTCTCTCTGTAAGAGTTCCTATGATATGTATGACACTTAGTGTATAGGTGTTGGGATTAAATAAAAGCCAAGGCTATTTTGCTATTAGTTAATACCTTATGGTTCACTGACTGAAATCATATATCTTTCAAAGTGGAATCAAAATTCACATTATTCCTGGTGTAATCGGTATCTTTATGTTACAAGCTCAACAGTAAAGTTGAATTTGACCAAAGATGAAATTCAACTCCAGCAATTAAAATGTCTTTGTGAATGAAAATCGGTTAATTTCAATCATTTAAATGGTCTTCAATGCATGAAGGCTGTGTTAGGCCTAACGTGTATTGGCCAATAGGCGAAACCCTACGCTACCAATTAGAGCTGTCCTCGGTCAATTATTCGTGTGTCGCCAGGAGTTGGCGTAAGAAATAGCTGGCGACACCAGATCCACAGGACTAGTAAAGGAAGTCTATTTACAGAACAATGTTTGATTTGGCTGTTCAAAGTTGTTTCACCAACTCAGAAAGGATTTGAAATGAATGTCTGGTGATATTTGCAGTATAAATAATTGCTGTTGACCTCCACGCCCCAGAATGACTTATCTCTGTAGTTAAAGATATTGAACGAACAGCATGTCATTTTATCACAATATTTGCATATAGATGATTCGATGGAAATATTGCCAAAATAAAGAAAATCTTCATTAAATGTGAGTAAGAACCTTTCCGACAACTCCTTGTAAAACATTTGACGAATGCAACATTATATAGTTTTGTTACTTATCACTTACAAAATAACTACTCCATTTGACAGCTACGTGAATCAATAAAATAGTCCTATCATTTTATTGAACCAAGATGATTTTAATCATATTGGGTACATTCAATAGAGAATTAAACGAAACCAGCCAGTCTGTTGATGGTAAACAGGTGCTCGCATATTACACCTAGTGTGAATGGAATCGTTCCAGTGACTGCTGTCAGCTTGACATGTATTTGGAAAGGTTCTACTTTTATTGTGAACTCGTCGCTGTATGTTGTCTCCTTATTTCTGGGTGGCGAAATATCTTGTTACAAAATGTCAAATATATTGCATTTTAGCGTGCTCGTTGGCGTTTTAAATCGCTCATTTACTTTCTAGCGTACCTACCGCAGATTGCCGGAATGTTTCCGAAATTTGGTTTGGTAAATACTTTTGTACATATGTCTATATGAATTTTAGTCTGACTCATAATATAAATGGCAAAAAACAAATCGATTTTGTTTGAATTGATACAATGAAATATATGTAGAATACATGTTGTTTAACACTAAATATTGAAATATGATTATAATGCACGACAGACGTGCGTAACTATTTCTGCTTCATTTTTTTCAATTCAGTTGAGTTAACATAATGTTAATTGTACTTACTAAAGTTGTTAAAATATACAACAATTATGACAATCTATTAATACCTCCATAGGGTCATTGTTTTCGTTGTGGTACATGTATTCCCTCAGTATTGTAGTTGATTTTTCATAAAGAATCTTGAGTTTTTTATTTTCTACATGCTGTTAATGCTATGGTTTATTGTTTTATGTTACATCATTTATTTTAAGATTAAAACAATGATTAATTGTAAAAACAAAAATGAATGTTTTGGTCATGTTGCCTTTGCAATGCTTAATAGAATCTTCCCCTACATTGAGGTTGTGACACAGAAATATCGGGGGTGATGTTTTTTTCTCCCATCCTATTATGTCAGTCACAACTCCACCGACAGTAGTCTGCCATGTTTGTAAACAAAATCACATGTGGGGTATGAATATCGTCATTCACTTTTGATGACGTCACAATTACCAGTGACACATTTTTAAGACGTCATAATTGAACACGTGCTAAACGGCATGAGGCTATCTCCCCGTAGGGGGTGACAAGCTGATCTTTCCCGGCTAAAACGGGAGACACACCTGCGAAGGGTGGGAGACACTTGTATCACTGTGACTTATATTGTCGATATGAATTCCATACCCTATTCGACTGAAGATACCACGAATCCATATCTACGATATACTTGTAGGACATCATGACAAACGCCTCCTTTGATGATGACCATCCTGACAGGCGCCACATGTGGCAGCCATCATCACATTATCTATCACTATATGTTGCGCCGTTTATGATTTCTTCTGACAATTAGGAAGGTATTGAATTTACACCGTCGAAATAAGGTATTAAGACTGGGGCCACAGGTTCCAGTTTATTGAGGAGGTCACTGTCAGCATTCGTTTTGTTTTCATGCCTCATAAATAATTTCACCCACTGTTACTGTCTTTATATCCGACTTGTCTTTGCGGTTGAGATTTATATGTTTTGCTCTCATCTACTCAATTATTACTCCATTATTATCAATTATGAAGCTACACGGACTTATATTAGTTTACGTCTAACTAGTCTCTAAACCCGCTGTTATTAATAGGATAAAGTCAAGAGACTTGTTAATCATTTAATATCATGATTAAAGGAGACAGTTAAACTCAAGACGTATGGTATTAACCGGGGATCACCGGGGACAAGGCCGACATGTTACCAGGAAACCAGCTATGAATTATGGGTAAGAATGAACTTTGTAATGATAGTCACCATGTAAGCAAACAAGAGGAGGCAGACACACTGAATCTATCGTAGTATTAGTGGATGTCCATATTTCTTCAGTATGTATCCTATCAACTTGATTTTCTTTAGTATGAATGAAAAACGAAATTCAGAAATCAAATAACGTCCAGTGAAAGGTGTAAGTTAGAATTCCGAAACGGAATTCATCAACATCATCTAATGACTTCATATCAAGCGCTTTAAATAGCTACTTTTAAAGCTAACCATGCTGATCACTTCAGGGTATAAATGTGAAACCTAACTGTAGACATGAGGTGAAATTAGATAGTAAGGCCCTAGGCAGTCAACAGTCGGAGACACGATGATGTGTCACAGATGAGCAATTATTGATTACTGTAAAAAAAACGTTCAAAAGTTCAAATCAACATGTCGCTGTTTTTTCATATTGTTATTGGATCTTTTCCACGTGCTGTTTTTCTTTATCTTTGATAGCTTGAGTGAAACAGTATAATGCCTTTGGCTCGATTTTTGTGTCCATATCTAATTTTTAGTTTGTACAAAAGGGTCGGATTCAAATAAAACTTTAAACAAACGATACGTACTACTATAGATGGTATGTATTCTTAATTGTATGAACATGTTGAATTTTAAAACACGTTCCAAGATGAAAAGTTTGAAACTTACAGGCTTAATAATACACCTCAAAAATGCATTTCAACATTACACTGAATTGACGCTTTCCGACATTAACAGGAAAGTAGCAGTAACATATCTTACTTAGCAGGTTATACCAAAAGTAGAGGTCTTACATTATCATTATAAATCCTAGTAATTATTACCGAGATGAAATGGGAAAGGAACAAACAGACAGCAGAACCCTCACGAAAAATCGGAGGAAAATCCGTCCCTCTTCATAGGTAAGCATTCCTGTATCTCGAATAAAGGAAAACAATCACTCGTCAACTATAGAGCAAATAATTTTAATCATAAAAAACAATGAGATCATATTGCAAGAAAACGGTCTCATAATGACGCTTCTAAAAATAAGCATTGCAAATTGAAGCTTCCCTGATGGAAACCCGGTCTGCGTAGTTCATTACACAACAAGACACATCTAACAAATATGTATGATGAGCATATTCTAAGCACAATTACTGTAAACAAGGAAATATTGGTTTATGATGAAGCTTTAAAAATTATTATTCATGAGTACAAATGATGTTTTTATCTTAAAAACAATACAGAAAAATCAGTTACTTGTTATCGCTTGTTGAATGCCATTTACTAATATAATGTCAGCTTTATATCACACAGTAGAAACTGGGTATACATCTTGAACATTCCATTTATATATTTTTTGTCGCAACATAAATCCTCACCACCTCCCAAATGCCCAATATTTCGCAAGCAAGCAAGTCGCAATATTATACGAAATATCAACGACCTTGCAAAAATTTACAATTTTAGAAAAACGCATTAGTATTTCTGATTTTTAACTCATAATCATGTATGGTGTGTACATCATTATGATCTTCATCAATTTATACTGTATTGATGATTTGAGTATTTTTTCGCGCGTTTTGCAATAATGGCAATAATAACATTAACATTCGATGTATTTGCCAGGTATCTAAAAATATCTTATACTGTTTTCACTTTTGAAATCTCTGCAGAGGCCATGTTTCACTAGCAGTGCTGTGAACAATAGAACCTATTCAGTGCTGACATTTTCATTCAAGAGCGTTATCAAGAGTTTATACAAGTCTTTCCCACCAACGTGTTCACGATAAAGTTAATTATGACGGTACCTGTCCACGCTTTGTTTTCGCGTTGTTTGGTCTCTCTCCCCGGATGTGACACCTGCCCTTACACTGAAAGGTATTCTCTGTTTTATATGTTTACACACACATCCGGTCAGGGTCCCTGCGCGAAGCCTTACTTTTGCACTTGAATGTCATTCGTTATTCATATTCCTTCCTGTCATGTAATAATGTGTATTTTCCCCCCTCGAACGAACCTGGTTCAAGCTGACGCCCAAAGCCGTATATGTGCATGCAATGAACGCTAAAAGGTGTCATTTAAATGCC